CAGTGGCACACTCATGGCCACCCCAGCATCGACCCGCTGGGCTCAGCCATCCTTCTGCCTCAGCCTTCCAAGTATCCAGAAATATGTGCGCTACCATGCCTGGCTAATTTATTTATTTATTTATTGTATAAGCGAGGTCTCGCCAAGTTGCCTGGGCTGGTATTGAACCTGCAGGCTCAGTCAATCCACTCGCCTCGGCCTCCCAAAGTGCTGGGATTACAGGCTGAGCCACTGAGCCTGGCCAAGTTTTCCTTAAGATGCAAAACTGGAAACACACTAACTATGTATTCTTTAACGTACTTTGTTCATTCACTAAAATAACATGGAAAAGATGGTGCATACAAATGTGTAAAGCACCTGGCTCCATGCTCAATAATGAACATAACTATTCTAGGCATCTTGCAGTGATTGTTTTAAACTTTCTGTTAACAGCAAGGCTCTTTTCAAACAATATAGTACAGTCCTCCCTCAGTATCTGGGGAATGGTTTCCAGAACCCTCCAGATACCAAAATCTGAGGATGCTCACGTCCTTATAGAAATGGCATGGTGTTTGCATGTAACCTACACACACCACCCGTACACTTTAACTCATCTGCAGGTTACTGATAATACCAGGTACAATGTCAATGCTATGCAAATGTTATTATATTATATTGTCTTTATTTGTATTATTTTTTATTGTTGTAGTATTGGATTTTCCCCCAAATATTTTCTATCCGCAGTTGGTTGGATTCACAGATATGGATATGGAGGGCTGACTGAATTTGGAAACCCAATTTATAGATTAGGAAGAGTGGAATCTCCAAGCCAGGGTGAAGGTGGCTGGAGTGGTGAGCATGGAGCCCCTCGCCTGCTGGTCTCCCCAGTACTGTGTGGAAACCCAAGTGTGTAGGCAGGCTGTGGGCACACCCTGCACACTTAACTAGATGGCCTCGTTATGGGCATACACAGCCTGGGCAGTTTTCATGTGGGTCTGAAGATCCCAGCCAGCTGGGATAGGAATTTGTTCTCTTCAGTCTGATTGAAATTGCCCCAGAGTCCTGAGGTAAGAGTTGACCTTGGTGGACTGTGGCTCCTCTTGGCTTGGTACTGGTCTGTGATTGAGTTTTTACAGTTCACAATGAAATGAAGAAAGTAAAGTTAATGTGGTGAGATGTACAGAAAGTTAAACTTATTCAAGTGTTTCTTTTTGGTGTTGAAATGTCTTTTTTTTTTCCATGAAATTATGATGGGAATGATTGGTAAGGGTGTGTGTGTGTGTGTGTGTGTGTGTGTGTGTGTGTGTGTGTGTGTGTGTGTGTTAATGTGTTACCTAAAGTTGGCAGCTTTACATTGGTCCCCCAAATTTGTTTCACAATTTTACTGACCTACAAAATCCTGAAGACTAGAGACAGCTTTTTTGATTCATGGCCAGGGCTTAGCCAGGACTTCCCTGGAACGATCCCAGAAAGATAGCAAGCTCTGTTCTTGTGCCGGGTGCATTTGGGAACCACTGTCTTTTGATGAAATTACAGCTGCTCTTCGAAGGCTGATGGTAGATGAAGCCTTTCTCCGGGGGCTGTTGTCCAAGAAAGTCACCTTCTCACAGAGGTGCTTCCTCATCTCTGTGCCACACCCCTATTGTCCTCAAGGGGGCACTGCTTCTTTGGACCACTCTGGGCAAACATGATGGACATTCTCTTGATGTCCAGCAACCTGAGACTAGGACACAGGCAGCCAGGACTTGGTTTCAGTCTTATGGTTTGCTCAAGGAAAACGGGCACAAGGAGACTACGGCCGGTGGCAGAGTTTCCACACCCACAGCTCCTTCCAGCGGCTCATGCCCTCTACATGGTGAGGGCAGCAGCACCCAGTGGGACCACTCCAGGGGCCCAGGGTGCAACCAAGAGCCTGTTTCCCTCCATGGGGGAGGGGGAAGGCACTCTCCCTGCTCAACTCTGGAAAACTGGGCGGGGCTTATGGAGGGAGATGGCAGCTGCCTTGCAGGGGGCTTGTGGAATGAGAGGCAGGACTCATCAAAGAGCTAGGGCCTTCCTTCTTTCCCTCTCAGATGGCAGGACTTTTTGATTTCTTACATTTTACCCCAAATCCTCATCACAGCAGTAGCTGACAATGAATTGGGCTCAGAGGACTCTGGACACCAGATTAGGCACTTAGCCCTTCTGTACAAGGACACTTGGACAGCAGTAACATAGACGTAACAGTAACCCAGCAGTAGCAAGAAGAATGTCAAGTGACCCAGTCACACGTTCTCATTTGCTTGGAGAGAGAGATTTAGTTCAAACTATGGCCAACCCTTTTTCCCTTCGTTCATGCAATTAAAAAATTCTGCCATATCTTTTGACCTGTGGCCATTGACTTGTATTTGCAAAACTGTCTTGTGGTCTCTCTCTCTCTCTCAGTCCTCACACAGCCCAGTGAGGAAGGCTTGCTTGTTTTGCTGATGAGGAATCTGAGGCTTGGGCAGCTTGGGCACATGCTTAAGACCATACTGCTGGTAAGAGGCAGGACAGATATCTGAGGGGGCCCAAGTCCCACCCTCAGCCAGGTCCTGGCAATGACTAGGGAATGCATGTCTATGTATTTGGTTTCCTTTCCTGCAAAGCTAACCAACGAGTGCTTAAGGGATTTGAGCTCTGGAATTTTGGTGCCATTAGCATAGAGTACCAGTTAGAGAAACAATTGATAGCAGTGGTATCGATGACAACTAACCATCATGAAAGAACCCTTTGAGTTTCCATCCTGACCAGCCTGGAGACTGTCTGAGCCAGGATCAAGTTCAGAAAAGTGGCAGGTGGTCCGGGGCAGGACACAAGCTACTCCTTTCATTTCCTTGGAGTGCTTCGTGGTATTGGTGCTCACTTGAGTACAGCATCAGCCTGGTCCCCAGAAGAGGGCTCCCAGTGGCCCACCAGCTCACCCTCTCCTAGATACTGTCTTAGAAGCCCTGGCGATGATCGTGCTTTCTGCTGCAGCTGTTTGTGCTGACTTTCTCCTGGGTTTGGGTTTGGGTTGCTAATTCTGGCCTGTTACAACTCCCAGGAGTTCTGGGGTGGCTAACAGGACCTCTTTCCCATCCCAGTCCCCAAATTTGGGAAGCAGGTGAGGTAGGGCTGAAGTTTGGCAGGTGAAGATTTGCCCTGGGTAGCACTGGAAGAAAGAGCAGCTTCAGTGCTCCTGGGAACCAAGCCCTGAGCCAGCGGCATAGGGGGCTGGGACAGGGGCATGGGTGGAGGGGTGGCTAGGCTGTGACACCTCTCCTGGTCTGGTTTCTACCAGGAACTAATGAAAGGAGCTATCTCATGGCCTGGGCATTAGGGCTGACAGGGCTGGATGCAGATGGGGGAGTGACAGCATCCCAGGACCTTATCCCAGCGGGGCAAGGAACCCAGTGGGAGGTGAGGCCTGACCTGCTGGGGAAAGAACATCTGGGTCAGAGCAGAGGTGTCCAGACTGAGCTTCCATCATGGTCTGGGCCGCTTCATTGGGTGGCACAGGGCACAGGCTTTGGAGTCAGCTGCCCTGGGGTGGCAGCCAGGTGCTCCGAGTTGGCCGTTGCCTCACCTTGGGCAAGGAATGAGCCTCTCTCAGTCTTAATACACTGTCACCCACCACAGACCAGACGCTGTTGTATAGACAGGGGCTCATAGACACTGTGATAGTGACAGAGTGTTACAATAGAGGCTGCCTTTTAGAAATGCCTGTCCAATAATAAACATAAAAAGACTCTGTTGACATTTGTGAGACAACTCAAATAGTTATGACGCCCGAGGACATGAGTAGAGAATTTCCACAAATGACAAGTAGATCTCTGAACAAATTTCAACCTCAGAAGTCATTGTAAAAAGTGGGTGGGGGAGGGGGAAGCAACGTGGAGGTACCACTTTCTCAAAATTAGCAAAGTAGTGAAGAAGTAATAATACGGTATGCTGGTGAGGTTGTGCTGTGAGTGGTTCGTGCACACATTTGGATGCAACCCCTTCAGAAAGCAGGATACCTGCATGTGCGAGAGCGGTGTGTGTTTGTGACCCTTGATAATGTCCAAGGAATTCATCCTAAAGTGATAGTGCCTTCAAAAAGTTTCTTACAGAAATATTCAAACTGTAAAATAGAACAGTATAATGAGTCCTTCTATACTAGAGGTATATTTTAGCAGAAGAAACAGCCACATGGGTAAGGATTGCATGGTTAAAAATTTATCAACCGTCTAAATATCTCATGAGAGAAAGTCTGACTGAGTTCCTCTTCAGATAGACCATCATACTTGTCATACTTGTCACACAACAAGTATGACAAGTGACCTGTAACAAGTGTGAGCTACTTTTAAGGAAAGCATCCACTCGTAAGTGGCATCTGCAGGTGATGACAGTTGTGTAAAGTCATGCGTGTTAGCAAAGGCTGGGAAAATGGGCAGAAGCTATTGCAGTGCTGGGATGGGGGTGATGACCTCATGTTGAATACTGTTGACATATGATTCTTACAATAAAAGTAAGTGAGTGAGAGAACCTAGGCTCCTCCCTCAGCCAACCTGTGACCATGTCTGCTGGGCACCTGTTCTACAGGTGACTCGAGTGAAGAGTTGTGTGAAGAAATGGTAGAGGATGGCCACACGACCTGGCTTGAGGGCAGGGTTGATCCCTAAATGGACTTTCAAAGACTCTCAGAATGTCAGAGCTATAAAGGAACAGTCTAACACCTCCATTTTGCAGCCAAGGGCCTGTGACCCAGAGAGGCTAAGTGATTTGCCCAGAATGACCCAGCAGAAACCTGGCTATTGCACACAGTGGCAGGCATTTCTCCAGAACTAGCTGGCGAGCCCAAGATCAGTGCCCCTGCCTCAGGGCACCTCCATGTCTAGGAGCCAACCACACTTGGCAGGCAGAAGGCAACCAGGCCAAGAGCACTCTCCTGATGCAAATGCCAGCGGTGGGAGCCGGGAAGAGATGGCCCAGAGCCACTGCTCCTGAACTGCAAACCCCCATGCATGGTGTCTCCACAGGACCCCAAGTGGGCTTAGCCAGGTCCGCCCCTCCCAGCAGCACGTGGGGCTGTCCCGCACCGTCCGACTTTACCCAACTGCTACGACCAGTGGCCAGCTGACCTCCAATGCCCTTCCCTCAGGGCCAGGCCTTGAGCAGAGAGATGGCACCCTGCACATGGCACATACGGACCACCCTTCAGCCCCCTGGGGTAAGGATGCCTTGTCTCGGGTTCCAGGAGAGCAGGGTATCTACATCTAAGAACCCCCGCCCCCACCTTCCTCTCCCTCACTCTCCCTGGACGTTTCTCCCACCCCTCCTCAAAGCAGCCACCCCAGCCTCCCCACCCTCCCAGGGTCTACCTATCAGCCCATGGCTCTGCCTGCCCCCCAGAGGGCTCCTCGCCTCCTGGCATCTGCCTACCCATGTCACCGCCCTTCACCTACACCTGTGCCTGGGTCACCACCTTCCTTTTTTTTCCATTTAAAAAACAGATGGAATTCAAATAACATAAGATAGCCCTTTTAAAGTGTCCACCTAAGCAGTTTTTAGCATACTCACAGTTTTGTGCAACCTTCACCACTCCCTATTCCACAGCCTTATCCTACCACTCTGGAAAAAAGCCTGTGCCCATCAGTCACCACTCCCCATCCCCCTCCCCAGCATCCCCAAGCCCACTTCGTCTCTGCAGATGTGCTCATCCTGCACATTCACGCCTGGAGAGCTGTACAATGTATCATCTTCTGTGTCGGGTCCTTTCACTTGCCATGACAGTCTCAAGGTTCATCCGTGTTGTCGCACTATCAGTCCTGGGCTCCGTAGTACGGTCGGTGACCTCCTCCTTTCTTGCCATCTTGAAAGGGAGGTGCCTCCCCTATCCAGGATGCCCTCCAGCCCTTCTCGTTTCCTCTAGAACGCTAGAGGTCACTTGTCCCCCTTCTGTGTCGTCACCCTGTCCCTCTCTCAGCCCTCTCTGTCTGGCACGAGCACTTGCTCACAGCTCTCCCATTAGCATACACACTCATGCACATGGACATGAACAGGCGCGTGGACACACACGCACACGCGTGCACACAGTCGTTTCTCCGCTTTCCTCTGGCTTCCGTTCTCTCTCCTCCCTCCACAGTCAGGCCGCGGGGACTGGGTCTACACACCTGTTCCCACTTCCTCCCTCCCACTCCCTCCGCCCTCTGCCCTCAGGCTCCTCGGACTCCCATCCTGAATTAAGAGTTGTATTCTGCAATCTCATGGCCACCCACCTTGCACAGCTGCCCCAACCTCCCAGCCAGCCTCCCTGCTTTCTGCCCTGCACATCTCAGCCAGGAGGTCGTCTGGCTGAAAAGTCCTCGTGGCTGGTCCTTGTGCTGGTCACCAGGTCCCCAGAACCTGACACCAACTCCTCTTTTAGGCCTCACTCTCCACCCTTCTCCTCAAAAACTCTCCTCTTGGCAAGCCTGGGCTGTCTGCAGTTTCCCTGCCCTGGGTTCAAAGCCAACGGCTGCCCTTGCTGGCTGTATGACTTGGACCACCAGACTTCTCAGGGCCTCAATTTTCTTAGCAGTAAATGGACATACTGGGTCGATGCATGAAAACTGCCGAGACTCAACCACAGGAACCATATTAAGGGTTCATCCCAACGTGCGCCCCACTCGAGAGGACTGGGAGTTGATGTGCACGAGGCACAAGCTTGGTGGCTGGCACCTCTGTGAGCTTCTCCAAGGTGTTGTCCCGCCCTTGTGATGGCCCCTTGCATCACTGGGCGCGTGGCAGATGCCTGTGGGCCAGAGGCACCTTCGCCCTGTGGGCCTTGCTCACCGGGCCGTGAGGCCACGCTGTGCCTCTCAGCCCTGCCCCGGACCCAAGCCCTCTCTCTGCAGGGCTGAACCTCACGGAGAAGATCAAGAAGATCAAGATTGTCTTCACTCCCACCATCTGCAAGCAGACCTGCACCCGCGGGCACTGTGCCAACAGCTGTGAGCGGGGCAACACCACCACCCTGTATAGCCAGGGCGGCCAGGGGCACGACCCCAAGTCTGGCTTCCGCATCTGTGAGTCCCTTTCCCCTCAGAGGGCCCCGACTGACCTGAAGGAGGATAGCCAGAGGGCCAGGCCTGCCTTGAACTGGGGCCCATTGTCCACAGAGAGATCCCAGTCCTCCCCAACCTGGTCTGGCCTCACCGTGTGACTCTGGGGGTCACAGAACCTCACTGAGTCCAGTTCCTTAAGAGGGAAGCAAGAGCGTTCGTAGTAATGCCACCACCTGCCTCCCGGTCACTGTGGGGGCAGGGAAAGCTCCAGAGGGGCTTTTAGGAAGGCAAGGGCTGGTTGTCATCTAGTCTTTTCCACTCCTGCCTCGGGAAGTCCCTGCATGCCAGGGCTCTGGCGACACACGCCACCCAGTGTGGGGCCCCGCTGCCCCCGTTTGTCTGGCTTCACCGACCGGCCATGTGGGGAGAGCTGCTGTCCTCCTGTCGCCGGTTACCTGGAGGTCGATGTTGCAGATTTCTGCCAGATCCCCTGCCTGAACGGGGGCCGCTGCGTCGGCAGGGACGAGTGCTGGTGCCCTGCCAACTCCACCGGGAAGTTCTGCCACCTGCCTATCCCACAGCTGGACAAGGAGCCTCCGGGAAGGGGCTCCCGCCACGGGGTCCTGCTGGATGCCCCCCTGAAGCAGTCCACCTTCACGCTGCCCCTCTCCAACCAACTCGGTGAGTGCCAGCGTGGCAGGCGGGGCTGCGCCGGGACGGTGTGGGTGCAGGGGGGAGCTTCTCCCTCCTTCCTTGCCTGTGAAGCCCCCGCTTCTGCTTGCTCTCATTTCTCTCTACCCTCCCATTCGTGTTTCTGCCTTCCCCTGTGCCCGTTGCCTTGGGGAGGATGAAACCGTGAGGCTGGGCCTCCCCTCCCAGATCCCACGGGCCTGGGCCACGGATGGAGGGTGGTGGAGGGAGGAGAGCATAAAGCATTTCGTTCTCCCTGCCTGCCATTATTATGTGCCAGCATACACAGGGTGCTCCGGCAGGCTGGGGCGGAAGCCTGGGTCTGCACGCTGGGGGGCCCTGTGAGGGGTGGCTGCAGTTGGGACTTGAGCTCCAGGCAGCATGTGCTCACGCAGAGGGACTGGCGTGGGCAGGCCCGCAGGCAGCCATGCAGGGCTCAGCGGCCTGAGCTTAGGGGTTGTGGGGTCCGTCCCCACAGGGGGCTTGTTCTGGGGTCCAAGTGGAGGGCTAGGCATGGAAGGAGCATTTTGGGGACTCACAGCCGTGGCCGCCTGGCGCTTGGAGGGTGGGGAGGAGGGGCTGCTTGCCGGCTCTGACCCGCCCTGTGCCCAGCCTCCGTGAACCCGTCGCTAGTGAAGGTGCACATCCACCACCCGCCCGAGGCCTCCGTGCAGATCCACCAGGTGGCCCGGGTGCGCGGCGCAGGCGGGGAGGCCCTGGAGGAGAATAGTGTGGAGGCCAGACAATCGTCCCGGCCTCCTGCTGGCCCCGGCCTCTGGGACAGCAGCAGCCACGGTGCCCCTGACCAGCTTGGGGAGCCCCTTCGGCCACTGCCCCCGGCGGCACCCCGGCCCCAGATGCTGCTGGGCCGGTGCTACCCCAGCGCTGCACACGGACAGGTGAGATGCAGCTCCTGCCTCTGCCCCAGAGCCTTCTGGGGCAGCCACCGCCCCCTGCTGCCCTCCTCCCCGCTCTCTCCTCCTTGTTCCCATGGTATGCGAGTGTCTGCAGAGTCTCCCATTTCCCAGATGGGAAAACCCAGGCATAAACTAGCCTTGGATGGACAGGCCAGGCCCACATGGATGCCACCGGGTAGCTGTTGGTACCAGGCGCCCAAGGAGAGTCCCCTCTGGGACAGCTGTCACCAGTGTCCTCAGGCCAACGTAGCCTAGAATTTGGTCTCAGTAAACCCGGGGCGCTCTGAGAGCTGAGCCTAGGCCCCTCAGCACGTGGACAGGGGGCTGTCAGGATCTGGCCAGAAGGAGTGTGGTACCCAGTTGAGACTGGGGTCACTAACAAATGGAGGGTACACTCCTCAGCCCTGTAACACAAGAATGAGAGACACTCCATGTCCCTGGAGGCACCACAGTGCATGATGGGAGATCAGGTGAGCTCTTCTGGGGTGAGGCACCCAAGAATAGGTTGGGACCACACCCAGGATGGCTTTGCTTGGGGTTGCAGTTTGGTGTTTCCAGAAATCCCTTCCGAGGTGGGGGATCTGGAGATAGTCAGATAGCCAAGGGGTGAGGAACCCAAATCCCAGAGCCTCCCTGGCATCCCCGCTTGTGGTGTCTCCGAGCCTGGGACTCCACTCTTAGGGGGGTGCACTGTGGGGGACCCTAGAGGTCCCTGGAGGTTGACAGAGGAGGCTTGTCATTGGGACCCTCTGCCTGGGACCGAGCCATGGAGGCTTGGAGACCAGCACAGGATGAGTCTTGTGCCTGGTGTTCCCCACACAGGCTGGGTCTGGAAGAGTGGACCCAGGCTTTTCTGTTTCCTTCTGGGATGTTGCCAACTTCATCTCCCCTCCTTCGGGTGTGGTGTCCTCTGGCCAAATGTGGGATGTGAGCTGTGTGTCCTGCACCTTCTGGGGACACCTCTGTGCCCTGCAGGGGAGGGAGCAGTCACATGTGTCCTCACATCTTTTCCAGTGTGCTGACCCCCTGCTGGAGCTGACAACCCAGGAGGACTGCTGCGGCAGCGTGGGCGCCTTCTGGGGGGTGACTGCCTGTGCCCCATGCCCACCCAGGCCAGGTGAGTGCTGGGTGCTAATGTCAGGAGCTGTGGGAACCCTCTTCCATTCAGCAAATACTCACCGGGTGCCTCATGGGTGCCAAGCACAGAAGATTCAGGCATGAGCAAAATGCTGGTCATGCTGCCCCCCTGGGTCTTGGTCTTCCAGCTAGTAGGGTTGACCGAGGCCTGTGCCGTAGTGTGGCTTCTGCCTACTTGGTCTGTCTTCTCCTCCAGGCCTCCTTCTTGGACCTGGGCCCAGGCCTGGTGTGTTTCTTTTGCCTGTCAGCAGCCAGTTTTGTGGGCAGCTGTCCAGAAGCCCGAAGTGGGAGGCAAAGCTGTTCCCAATACCAGACTTGCCTGTAGGGCAGTGATGATACTTTCCAGACTAGAATATGTGCAGACAGATTCACAGTGTGGTAGGAGTTTTGGTGAAGTGGCAGGGATGCAGCTCCTGGCTCGAGTGTCTAACACACACCAGGCACCAGTCCTGCAAGCCTGTCTCTGCCTCAGTCCCCTGATCTGTGAAATGGAGATAGTAAAGTGTCAGCCTTACAGGGCTGCTGTGGAGATGAGACGAGATGCCGCATGAGCTGAGCATTGGGTCACTACACTGCGGCTATGACTGTTGTTATCATCATTATCATTATTATTAGAAAGTATCCCTTAGGAAAGGGCAGAGACTGGGCGCGGTGGCTCATGCATGTAAACCCAGCACTTTGGGAAGCCAAGGCAAGATCCCTGGAGTTTGAGACCAACCTGGGCAACATAGTATGATCTCGTCCCTACAAAAGTAAAATTAAAAAATTAGCTGGGTGTGGTGGCATACACCTGTAGCCTCAGCTACTTGGGGTCAGTGGTGGGGACTGAGGTGGGAGGATCACTTGAGCCCAGGAGGTCGAGGCTGCAGTGAACCATGATCATGCCACTGCATTCTATCCTGAGGAACAGAGTGAGATCCTGACTCAAGAAAAATCCATAAGAAAGGGAAGAGGGAACAAACCTGCTGCCACTGGGCAGTGTGCACTGGACGTCTCCGCCTCGCCCTGCAGACTAGAGAGGTCTGCCAATTTTCTTCCTTCCTTGATCCCCCCTTCGTCCCATCAGACTGTCCTCACTCTCTTTCATCAATAGATGTTGATGCTGATCAAGCTCCCCCTGAAGTGCTCCCAGTGCAGGCCCTGGACGGACGACGGAGATGAGGCAGAAACAGGGCTTCCTCTCCAAGCTTGCTACCTCATGGGGCCACAGACAGCTGCTGGCTTCAGAAGCAGAGACTAGTGCAATGACCGGTCAGGTGCCAAGTGCCAAGTGGGAGCATAGGCAGCGGAGCTTGGGCTACTCACATGTCCAGTAGCACCTTTGGGCAGATTAGAGAAAGGCACCCTTCCATCTGTTCAGAACCATCTTCATAAAGACATCTAGGACGCCAGTGATTCCCTAGATGTAGTGTTTTGTGTAGTGCACAACCTGCACATCTGTACACGATGGGACAGGGGTCTTAGCTCAAGCTGATGGATCAGGGAATGCTTCTTACAGATGTTGACATCCAGGATGAGACTTGAGTGATTAGGGGTAGGACAGGCAAAGATGTGGGGAAGAGTTGTACAGTCCAAAGAACTTGCATATGCAGGTGAGACCAAGAGGATAGGCAACATTTCCTGGAGCACAGTGTGTCTCTGAGGGGCCCCTGCAGGAAGGCAGTCATGTCAGAGGGGTTCAGTAGGTCAGTTTCCCAAGCCCTTGTCCGGGCAGAGTCTGGTTCCCAAGAGCTGGCTCATTCAGACAGGTGGGCGGGTCTCTCCCCCACCCCATCCAGTGTCTGCTGCTGCAGACCGAGGCGCTGACCTGCGGGGAGTCTTGACCCAGCAGGGCCGTCCTGGGAGGAGGCCGCGTCTATGAGTGGGAGCAGCAAGGTTGCATCCGAGTGGCAATTCTGGGGCAGGCTCAGAATTCCCCCTGCTGGTCTCGGGGCTGGGCTGTCGGGTCGCCTGTGGTGTCTGAAAGACACTGGATGAAGGGGGAGACCCTGCCACCAACAACCACAGGTGGGAAGGAGTGAAATGGGGGTGCAGCTGAGAAGCGGGGATCCAGAAGGGCCTCCCCAGAATCTTGCTTCCTTGCCATGTACCGCCTCCCGCCTCCTCACAGCTGAGGTCTGTGTCTGCTTGGAACCTTCCTCTGGGCATGTCTCTAGGCCCCAGGTGTTCCAGGCTTGGCCACCAAGCATATCCTGAGCTCTGATCTGCGGGCCTCTGAGTGGGGCCAGCACTTAGGGCACTGCACGGTCCTCAGGACCAGAATCCCCTCTTCCATTCTGAAGGCCACCTCCACAGTGATGCCAGTGGCCAGAGACTGATCAGGTGACATTTCTAGGAATGAAGTGAAGATGCTTTTGATTCTTCATTTAAATGTCACATCCATTTTGTAGGACTGAAGCAGAGCATGAGAGCTCAGGTCCTGCTTGTCTGGGGCATGGGAGCCCTTCTGGGTCCAGAGGTGCAGGCTTAAGGTCAGTGAAAGACACTGGGCCTGACCCCTCAGCCAGAGCCAGCAGGATGACCACATCCCTAGACCTTGGGATCGGTTCTGATGGGGAAAGCAGAAGGACCGACCCTGAACTTTGTGGGCTCCTGCCCAGCCACTCACCTGCCCACGCCTTCCGGGGTGAGCGCTCCAACTCCCGGTGCCGAAGGACCTGCTCCCAGTAGGGCTGGCAGCTCTGTGCAGGCAGGGCCTGGAGCCCGGGTGGTAGGCATGGGAGCAGAGCTCTGTGGGTCTGGTGCCTCCGCACATGTCAGTGTGGACATCACTGCACGCCCAGCCCCAAGGCTCACCCTGCTTCTTCCCACCTGTCCCGGGGGTTCCCACCCCGTGTTCAGCATATATCTCATCGAACTGGCAGCAGGGCAGTGGCATCCCAGCACACTGGGAAGAAACAACAGAGACCAGGCAACATGGACACTCAGAACACAAGCGTGTGGGCTGGGCAGTGTCTGGGAAGGGCCCAACGATGAGGACCTCCTAGAGGGCACGACAGGCAGGACTTCTGAGTTCTCCAACACCCCCGGCCCTCATGGTTTAGCCCCTCTGAGCCCAATTTCTCCTCTGTTAAACAGGGCTGTGCCTCCCATGGAGGCTCTGCCACCCTTGTGAGATGTCTAGCAAAATCAGGGCGTGATGGGATGGTGGAGGAAGCAGCCAGGGGCCACGTGACCTCATGGCGTCCCCACCAGTGACCTTTGAGACTCTGCTGGGTGCTAGAGACTGTTCCTCAGAAAACCGCTGCTTCTAACACACAAAAACGCCTTGAAGTCTCAGCTGCATGACACCAGCAAATCCCTTTTCTTCCAGAAGAATTCCACAGAGCCCCCTCCCATGGAGGGCTGCCTCAGTGGGTTGATCTAGACCATCCTTGATTCCCCTCTCCTCCCTTCCTTGAGTGACAGAAGCCACACGAGCCCTACCAACCTCCCAGGACTTAGCCCAAGGCACATCTTCCTGTCCCCTTGGGAGTCATCCAGGGTCCCAGCTCATAGCCTCTTCTGTCCCCTGCCAGGGCTCTCCAAAACCTCTTTGATTAAGGCCACATTTTTGAGTTTTCATCTGAGAAAGACAGACATCTGGGCTGACTGGAAAGTTGGCTGCCACCCCCTCTAGCTTGGCACTGGCTGTGTCAACCCCAAGGCCCCTCTGCGGGGACAGGCGGGGCTGGCGCATGGCTCAGCCTGAAGTGGCGGGCCCTAGCCATCTGCCATGAGACCATTGTTCCATCTGCCTGGCAAGGGTGAACTCACTTCCAACCCTGGCCCCTGTGTCTTCCGGGACTGCAGAGCCTCTTGCCCTGCTCTTCAAGGAATTCTGCCTCTTCCTCTCTTCAGTCAGGAAGAGCTGCTGGTGACTGAGCTCTTGCCCTGTGCCAGGCCCTTCCCCTGTGTTTTCTAGTTTAATTTGAACAACCACCTGCAAGTTCAGGATTCCTGAGGAAAACAAAGCTCGGAGAAGGCTGGGAACTTGTCCAAGGCCACACAGCCGGAACAAGTGGAGACACAGGGTGTCTGACTCTCAGTTGACCCAGATCTCCCTAAACACTCTGGGGTGACCAGGTCTGTCTGAAGGAAACACAAATCAGGATGCTAACCTGGAATTTTGCAGCCAAGAGGATACAGGTCACGACCATGTTTCAGGACCAAGTCGCTTATGTGTGAAGGGCCAAGTCTGTCAGGAAGACTGGGGCTGGACAGACAGGCAGGTTAGCAACACGTAGCCCCGGCCTCAGAGTTAGGAGACACACTGAAAGAGTTGCCCTGGAATTGGGTGCAGGCTTGTCTCCTGTGGTTTGGGGAGAAAAGGCCAGTTGTGATTATGTCTCAAGAGCTCAACTCAAGACAGGGCACACGGGACAATCTGTGAACCACTGCAGGTGCCAGCACTCAGATGCCTGGAAGCACTGAGCTCCAGGTCACAGGGCACATGCCACCAAGAGCAGGCTTTTTGAAGGAGCTGGAGGAAGGAAGTTGATTTTTGAGGGAATGGGGGTTTCTATGCATGCTTGGAAACTTATGGGAATCTCTCAGCAAAAAGAAAGCTTTGTTTTGTCCCAGACCTTGCTCATGAGGAGTGTTAGGTGTAGCTCTGAAGCCAGCCCCCAGGGAGGGGCCTGTGGGTGCCAGGGGCCACTTGGAGCAGGGAGTCTCCAGGCAGGTCTCAGCGGTGCCATCTCTGACATCACCCTCGTCATCATTAGACAAGGCACTTACAAATGCAGAGTACTTACAGATGCTGGGGCCATAGTGCATTTCACTGCATTGTGTTCTAATGATGTTTCTAGGCACTGGTGTGAGGATCCCCTTCACAAAAAGGAAGTTGGGCCGGAGGCCCAGGTCTCTCTGACCCCAGACCCCAGACCCCAGCCTCCAGCTTCCTGACTCACCACCCTGTGCCGATTCGGGTGCAGTCAGCCAGGAGCAGCCGGATTGGGTGGGGCTCCTGTGCTCTGGAACTATGGTGAGACGCCTAGT